GAATTCCAATGTCAAAAATAATGATTTTTATATTTTCTAACATTAAATATTACTAACACATTTCTAACACTTGCTAACATTATAACAGTCAATGTTTTTTTTTTTTTTTTTTGATAAAGGCTTATTTTTTCAAGTCTCCTAGAATTGAATAGTTGACGGGAACCATTTTTGAACATTCAGCTGGTTTCTTGTTCTGGAGGGGTCCTTTTTTTATAAACATTGACATAAATATTATCCTACACTGTAAATCTTGGCTTAGATTATAAAATACTGTAGGAACCTTTTACCAAGTCTGTTGGTCTTATTACACAATGCAAATACAGAAGGCTCAAGCTTTAAATAGTAAATTTATGCCAAAAAAAAAAAAAGTTTTATTTTTTAAAAGAAATGCTAATGGTCTAATTCGATTCAATTAATTATGCAAAGCTAAGCTAAAAGTGACCCTGCCAAAACAAGACATCGGTGGAATGAATTTAAAAAAACTGTTTAAGTCAACTTTAGAAGACTTGAAAAATTTGGCTTTTTCAAAAAAGGAGTTTTCCTTTAATGTTTTACATGTTCCTACAAAGACCTGGAAGGGTAGTGATGGGAAAAAAACTGGGTGGAAAAAAAAAATGGATGGGAAAAACAAAAAAATTAGTGACAGGAAAATATATATATTTTTTTAACGTTTTCGCATTCCCTCAAAAAGATGGTTCGCTTTCTCTCGCAAAACTGTTGTTCCATAAACCGTTCACTTTATTCATGTTAACCCTTCTGATTTAGCCGGGACACGCTCCGTATAATAAACTGATCCCAGATCAGCTTCTGTACACGCCATTTAAAGTGACATCTCTGTTATTAAACAAGTGAAGAGCAGCAAATGTATCTCATATTGCTTTGTTTAGAGGATCAATGCACAGCTTTGATGAATAGAAAATGCAGACCTTTTTTATTCATTTCTCAATTTCTACCACCCATTTTTTTCCTCCACCATCACCTCCCTTCTATGTCTCTGTATAGTATAGACATATTTGTAGAATGATTTAGCAACATACTAAAACATTTTTCTAGCATTTTGGAGCATGTTTAAACAATGTCAAGCTGATACTATTGTTGCAATGCAAATTATCAATTAAATTGTAAAAGTCGAATAGAAAATGTAGAGTTCAGATGAAAAAACCTGTAAGTGCCATCTAAATTGTCATCTAAAATGAACATTTTTCTCAGCCTCCTTTGTTTATGTTGAGATATTTCACTTTAAAGACCAGGAAAAGGACTTATTCTTTATCATAAAAGTGATGTTACTGAACATACAAACAGGAGCCTGATAAAAATACTCATTTTAAAGAAAAATTTAGACGCCATTTAGAGGTTTTTGCATCTGAATTCTTCAAATATTGCCACTAGAAACATCTAATATTAAAATATAAAATATTTGTTCTGTAACAAACCAAAAAAAATAAATAAATAACAGATGAGTATGAAAGTTTGAAAAATAACTGTTTGTACAGATATAGCCAACTAGCTAGCAAGCATGCATTACGTTGCAGTTGTTTACAAAAATCATCCACAGTCTTTGACTGAAAATGAAGAGAATGAATGGTTGTAGGTTGTGCTACTGAAGGGCAGAGTGGCTCTGTGCTGGCCATGAACAGGAGAGTGTGACGCATGCAGGAAGCCAAGCTCAGGAGCCACGCTAAGACAACAGCTTTCAGCAAACAGAGAAGATGCTACATGAACGCACATACACTCGCTAGGGGTGTGAAAGAAGCTCAGATCACGCACAAACACACAGAACCTGCACAGAAGCTTAATTTAGACCCTCTCAGACTACCTCCAGCCAAAGCTCTGACGGTCATCATCACCCCCATTGGCATTTTAATAAACACTGCAGCCAGACCTGCCGAGAAGAACGAAAGCATGGCCAGGCTGGACTCTGATCCTCAGGGTGAACAAGACAAGCTGCTCTGAGTCACGACCACAAACTGGCCACATTATCACTTACTGTAAATGTGCAGGATGGCATTCTAAAGTCAACATGAAATCATTATTTACTTTGCTATAAAACCTTTGGGTCTATAAGAACTATACTAAAATAAATTACAGTGATTTCTTGCTATAACGCAGTTCACTTTTCGCAGCCTCGCCGATATTTTTAGTGCAATTTGACATGTTTTTCCACAGTGCATTGTGTTCTGTGTCCAGATTGTGTTCAGCTTGCCAAATTTACTTAATTCTTCAATCGCTACCAATGATACTCTAAAGTACTGTACTGTATGGTTGCAAGTTTTCTCTCCACAATGTCAACGAAATGTTCTGCACCATCAAAGGCACCTGTGGTAGCACCCAAAAAGCAGATGCAGATGCTAACCATCGCACAAAAAGTTGAACTTTTAGACATGCTAAAAGAAGGTAGAAGTTATCCGGCTGTAGGGCACCATTACAGAATAAATAAATGAGGATCAAATGGTTTTGTCTTTGGTCTTATTCTATAATAGTATGAAGGTTTGAACTTTGAGAGTGTTTAAACAAGAGAGAAAGTGTGAAAAGTTAATGCCTCTCTGAGACAAGTGTATAAAGAGTGTAGTGAGGGGTTTTACAGCCTTACAACATCTATAATAATGGTAAAAAAATAAAGCAAACTACTTTGTGGATTTTGCTTATTGCGGGTTATTTTAGAACGTAACTCCCGCAAATAACAAGGAACTATGGTATTACTTTTTGATTAAACTAAAACACATTAAACTGATATTAATAGACAGTGTTTACATTTATAACAGTACAAAAATACTTTGTTTAGTTTCATAATAATAGGAACTATTGCGCATCAAATTTAATTTTAAGCTGTCATTATATGCTAGTTTTCAATGTCATATGATAAATGGCATCACTGGGTGATTTGATGCTCAAGAATTCCTACACTGAAAAAAATATTCATTGGATTTACTTTGTTTTTTAAAGGTAACTGGTTGCAAAAAAAATGCATATGGGCAGAATTTAAACAAACAAATGAAGTTGAACATTAGTAAATTACATTTTTTATTTAAATTCAGCCCATATAAAATGTTACCTTAAAAATATATAGTAAATACAATGAATCATTTCTTTTGTGTATTTTTCTTTCGATTAAATTTACATTTTTTAAATTAATGATTTGTTAAATACAAATTAAGTTCTATAAAATACATCATAACATATTAAAACAGTGATGAGCCTCAGAGACGTACAGTAATACAAACGTGCAGAACAAAAATAAAAAATCCCAGTGTGTCCTTCGAAAAAAAGTAGGGGTGTAACTTCGGCATCCTGGCCAAATTTACCTCAGTCCATCATGGCCTCCTAACCATCCCCATATGATAATTGGCTTCATAACACTGTCTACTCTCCACCAATCAGCTAGTGTGCGGTCTGGCGCAATATGTCTACCGTCGCATCATCCAGGTGGATGCTGCACACTGGTGGTGGATGAGAAGATTCCCCCAAAAATGTGTAAAGCGCTTTGAGTGTCCAGAAATTGCCAAATAAATGTAAGGAATTATTATTATTAGTAATAGTAGTGTAATTAATATAAATTATTAAATAACAACACTGAAAAAAACAAGCTTTTTTTCTGACAGATGTCCATTTTTTCTAATACTGTTTTATTGTTCAGTTCTCTGATTGACTCACTGTAGCATGTGAAATGGAGGTAAACATATTTCAATGGCATCTAATATGATTTTAAAACGTTGCAGCTTGGTAAAAAAAAAATTCAAATAAGCTTCAAAAGTGAACAGATTTCTAAAGATTAACACAAACATACAACGTCAAACAGAAGTGAGAGGTTTTCTTTCGCTGAGATACTTCTCATTTTCACAATCCACCATGTATGAACTGACTCTCTGCTGTAACCAGTTATAAACAATTAGGCAGTACAGAATTCAGTCTTTCATTCATCTTCTTTTCGGCTTAGTTTATTAATCAGGGGCCGCCACAGAGGAATGAACTGCCAACTTATCCAGCATATGTTTTTATGCAGCGGATGCCCTTCCAGCCGCAACCAAACACCTATTCAAACACATACACTAGTGCCAATTTAGTTTATTCAATTCACCTACAGTACGTCTTTGGACTTGTGGGGGAAACCAGAGCACCCAGAGGAAACCCACACGAACACAGGCAGAACATGCAAACTCCACACAGAAATGCCAACAGACCCAGCCAAGGCTCGAACCATCAACCTTCTAGCTGTGAGGTGATCATGCTACCCACTGCACCACCATGCATAATATAGAATAGTACAGTAATATAGAATTTAACCTAATCAGTTCAGCTCAAAGCGTTTATTACTTTCACAAATTAAATGACCACTTGAATAAAGCAGCAGCATAATATTCTCTTTGTTTCCCCAGAAACTAAATCCAATAGTACAAAAGACAGACAAAACAATGCAAACCAAACAATATACATTACATAGACAGTTATGCCAATACTTTCATCAAATATTTAATTTCACGCACCTCAGTAAACCTTTAGCAAAAACATGAAAATGCTATTGTGAGAATTCACCAATCGACAGATAAACTTATACATCGAATTTCTCATCAAAGCAAAAAATGCTCAAACTCTTACCTTACAGAATAATTCACTTGCGCTATCTATTCTTTTAAGAATAATCCTCATATAATCATTGTATGCAACCTGCAGCTTATCTCTTCTTTAAAATTATACCAAAGGGAAGCTGTGTATAAAGAGCTGCAATAAGTTCTAAAGAGGTTTACCTTAACCTGCTCTGAACACAAACAAATCTTCCTCAATAGCATATATGCCTAAACAAAACTTTCGACAATTAACAAAAGACAAACCATTTCTTATCGTACTGTTATTCATAATGGAAATAAACCAAGCAAGTGAACGGATTAGTGAATGGAATCAGACATAAGAAAGTTTGTGAATGTTGAAATGTTCTAGTCCCTTCTTGTCAGTTTAAAAACTAACAGCCTCTGAAAGGAAAGGAATAGTCAACGCACCTTCAGGTCTGTATTGAGCAATGATAGTGACCGTCTGTCCAGCGTTCTTCAGTGCTGCGGCCGCCTGCTCATGCGTCGCACTGCGGAGGTCCACTCCATTTACCTACAACCAGCATGCAATATTAATGATGGACGGTACATCACAGACACTGATGGAAACTTACTTCCTAAAATTAATCTTTTACTCAAATGGATTTCAATATAGTGGCAAAAAAACAAGGTGACACTTTATTTTAAGGTGTACTTGTTACAAAAGTTCTATGTACTTACTATAGCAATTAAAAGTAATTATGCATAAGTACATGCAACCAACCTTAAACCTAACCTGCATTCTAAGCATAATGCAAGTAAATATAATTAATTAATATAACTAACCTAATTAATATACGCTACATTAATAATAAAAAGGACACCTTAAAATAAAGTGTTACCTAAAATATAAGTACAAAAAGAGGTTACCGCTTCATTTAGACATTCTGTTGACTGCAAGAAAACTTCACAACTACCAGAGTATTACTTGACTTTACTACTAGACTGCCGCTGCGATCGAATACTATACCAAAGTCGGCGATCCGAGGCTGTAACGGACTGTACCAAAAAAGTGAGTTTTCCAGGAAAAATAACAAAATGGGAGGGTGGCGGGAGATGGGTATGAAATACGGTAGACTCCAGGGAAAAATATTAGTGTTGGCAGGTATGGTATACCACATTTTGGAAAAGTCAAGGTTTTAAAACCACCAACATTTTCTGCTATACTCCTTTTTAAGGTTTATGTAAGATTTTTTTTTTTTTTTCGTTTTGTTTTAAGTTTTTTTAGGACAACAGTATCTCCAGCAGAAAAAAAACATCCAAAGATGCTGTTTTAAATTGTAATGAAGTCAGTGTTTTTGGAACTAATGAAGACAGCAGAAGTCAACGATTTATTTGAATTATTTAGCCTGACAAGATTACTGTTCCAAAATATTTAAAAAGTTTCTTAAAATAAAATTTATATTGAGTTCAAAGGGGAAAAAAGCTTTTGTTTTTTATCCAGACATTTAAAAAGAACATATTTTAGAGCAGTATTCAAAAACATAGTGAAACCGTGATATTTTAATCCAAGGTTATCATACTGTCAAAAACTTATACTGGGCCATGCCTACCAGACTGTCTGCTTAAGTGATGAATAATGTACACGCAGCTGGTTGTTACTGCAGAATGACTATGTCAAAATGATTAAGACCAAATCAGGAATTTATTTTGAAATAAAAACCCTTTGTAATGTACATTATCTCTTTTACTGCATGCCTCATTGCTATATATGTAAATAACTAGACACAAATATTTAATATCTTTAATATATTATCTTTAAAAGCAGAGCAACAGCAAAACATTTTCTTTTAAATAAAATGGTTTAAAGCCTAAACGAAAACAAGTTTGCACAAGACAGACACTTAAAAAGTAAAGTACATTTATATCAATAACTGCAGAGCTGATAACTACATAAATAAAAAAGAGATATAAAAACTTAATCTAAAGAAATCTTAATAACAACTGATTATTTAAAAAGTAAGTACATGACATTACTTAGCAGAAGTTGTGTTTGAAGAAAAAAATCAGCATGGGCTTTATTTTGATGATCCAGGCACAAAGTCCAAAGCGCAGGGCGCAAAAGCATTAAGGGCGTGTCCGAATCCAATTTTGCTATTTTAAGGACAGAAAAATCTGCTTTGCGCCGTGGCGCATGGTCTAACAGGGTTGAGCTTAATGTCTCTTAATGAGTTTAAAGGTGTGTTTTGAGAATAAACCAATCAGAGTCCCATCTCCCATTCCCTTTAAGAGTCAGTTGCGTCGCACTATTTACATGGGTTAGGATTTTTCTATGACCACAGAGAGTCAGATCCTTGGTAGATGGAAGTATTGTTTATTATTAGTTCATATTAGTACATTAACTAATGAAACTAAAATTAAACTAAACCTTTACTAATGAAATCTTATTGTAAAATCTGACCCTCTAACAATAGCAGTTAAAGATAATGTGATGTTCTTACAGAGACGATACGGTCTCCTTTCCTCAGTTCTCCACACAGGTCTGCAGGCCCTCCTGCTAAAATGAAGGAGATGAAGATTCCCTCTCCGTCCTCTCCTCCTACAATGTTGAAGCCTAGTCCCGTGGTTCCCCGATGCAGGACAATTTTCCTAGGCTCCCTAAAAACAAAAATAGTGTTTATTAATAAGGAATTTATTATAACTTTTTGACTTGGAAAATATGACAAACTAATACTATAATAGTTTTGTTGTGTAGTAATTGTAAAGAAGCAGATATACTGTAAAACATAAAATATTAAACAAATTATTAAATTCAATAGTAACTGCAAAACAAACTAAAATAATATAACTAATAAATAAAGGCAATTGAAAATTATCTGAATTTGCGATTAATTGTTATGTGTTTAAGTAAAATGTCATTTTGGTTCGATTCTGTAAACTACAGATCCAATTTCTTCTCAATTTAAAATAAAACCATTTACTTTAGAGCACACAATGATATTTGGTCAAAATAAGAATAGGGCTAATGGTGGGGGAAAAAAGCTATTTTACTTAAACGACAAAACATTTGGTGGGTCAACCCTGATCACAGGTTATTGTCATTGTCTGAAGAAAAAAAAGATCTAAATAACAACATTTTATTTATTAAATATCGAAATATTAGCATTATAAATGATAATAACAAATACCAAATACAGAATATCTTAAAAGTGATTTTATTTTCCCAAAGCTATATTGACGTTTTGCAAAATAAAATAACGGTACCACATCTCCCTCTAGTGAATAAAAATATGAACTACAAGATAGAGCTCTTAGAGGCAAGATTCGTTCAAAATGTAAATTAAAATCAGTTACTCATCCTTCACTTGTTCCAAACACTTGCACTCAAACTAGTTTGAAACAAATCAATGGCAAGTAAATGACAGGATTTTAGTAGTAGTGATGGTTAAAACCTACACATATAGCCAGGTTACAATTTACAAAGGTTAAATGCATTTTACCGTTTTCCATAAAGTGTACTAAAATGTGATATGTGCAAATATTGATTGGTGTATAATTTTCATAAGAATTATAATTAAGCAAATCGTCTGTTAAATTCCTGAAAAGTAAAAACACTGCATCCCTGTGGTGCTTTCAAAATATGTAATCCTCTTAATCAGCCAAACAGGGAACCTGACAATAGATTTGTTGTTGTTTGTTTGTTTGTTTGTTTTGTGTGTATGTGAATTAAAGACACTAGTTTAATACTCATTTGTGAAGCAGAAGAGAATTAAAAGGATGGAGAGTACATCTAGTGGCCTGTAGATGGCTGCATTGAGTCACTGAGATCTGAGTGTTTTCAAAACAAACCCTCACTCAACTTTACACACACACACACACACGCACACGCACACGCACACGCACACGCACACGCACACGCACACGCACACACACGATATTAACCCTTTAATAGAGATTCAGTTTAAAGGTATGACCCTGTCATTGTTTGCAGGATCACCATATTGCCTATGCCGACTGGCCTATAAATATGTGTAGTATTGTTAACCTATGTATAAAACTGGAGGAACTGATGTAACAATAGTTTTTAAAGTCTTTTTTTTTTGCCTGTTCTTTTTTATCTTTATAGTTGTTGCTTTTTGTATTGTTCTGTTGCTTTAAAGTAAAAATACAAAATATAATTAAAAATAAATAAATAAATAAATACAGTTTCACTACAATACTGACAGAATCACATTCACACACATTTTAGATATAAAGAGAGTAACATTTTTATAGTCATCCTGTAGAATTAAGTCTTAATTCAAAAAGCTTATCAGATTTGGCATCCTTGACTTCACAGATTGGTTGCTTATATCATGACGCTAGCTTCTGACGTCAGAAGCTGTTTGGTTTTAACATCAGTATGACGTATTTGGTGAATTCTTCTGATAGGAAATAAATCTCCCTGATTAAAAAGGTTTAACAGTAAAGCACGCCAGAAAGTGTGTGCGCATTTTCTTTTTAAGTGATACATTTTGGCTCTGCTCGCTACTGAGATACAAAAGAATGAGATTGACATTGGCAGCAGAGGATGCTTCTTATGTAGTAATATAATCAGGTTTAATCCTAAATTGTGGATGTGTGATTTTTATATTTCGCAAATGAATGTCTATTCATGTAAATGGATACAAACTTAAGCTATCACTACACAGCAAAGTGGCACAGAAACCAAACCTGAAGCAGCATCAATAAAAAAAAATGTGTATTTACACAAATTGTTTATTAAAATAAAATGTCTTTACACTGATATTTTACAAATGAATACCATCCCTCAGGTATTAGATATGGTGAAACATGTCTTTACCTTTTGTATTAAAAATCATTTACACTGGGTCACCCGTCTTATAACCACTTTGCTATATCTTCTAGCCATTTAAAAAAGCTATATATCTTTTAGTTTGGCTATAAAAAAGCACAAACATTTTTATGTTAGTTTAAATAATGTTTAAGGGTGAGCAACGCGATGGCACAGTAGGTAGCACGATCGCCTCACCGCAAGAAGGTCGCTGGTTTGAGCCTCTGCTGGGTCAGTTGGCATTTCTGTGTGAAGTTTGCAAGTTCTCCCCATGTTCGTGTGGGTTTCCTCCTTGTGCTTCAGTTTCCCCCACAAGTCCAAACACATGTGGTATAGGTGAATCGGGTATGCTAAAATTGACCGTAGTGAATGTGTGTAAATGAGAGTGTATGGATGTTTCCCAGTGATGGGTTGCAGTTGGAAGGGAATCATCTGTGTAAAACATATGCTGGATAAGTTGGCAGTTCATTCTGTTGTGGTGACCCCAGATTTATAATAGCGGATAAGTGTTTAAGGCCAATATTATTAGACCCCTTTTTTAATTTTTTTTTTTTTAAATTGGCAACAGAACACTGCTGTCAGAACAATGTTTAATTTAATCCTTTAAAACAAATTGCGGAAAAAAAAAACATATGCTGGAATAGTTTGCGGTTCATTCTGCTGTGGTTACCCCAGATAAATAAGGGACTAAGCTGAGATTTTGTCTTTAACAATATATTCAATATTAACTGGCTTCAAGACTTATCATTAACTGCTTATTGAGAGCTAGTTATGAAGTTGTCGTATTGTTTAAGTAAAGGTAAGGGGTAGATGGGAAGTAGAAATAGGCATGGGCTCATATATGATTTTGAATGTATGATAACCTTGGATAAAAATGTCACGGTTTCACAGTATTGTGATTACTGCTCTAAATATATGTTCTCTTTAAATGTATGGGTAAAAAAAAAATATATTTTTCCCCCATTGAACACAATATTTTTTTATTTTGAGAAACATTTAAAATATTTTGAAGCAGTAAACATGTCAGGATAAATAATTAAAATGAATCATTGACTTCTGTCTTCATTAGTTTCTAAAACACACGTTTCTTTACAATTTAAAACAGAATCTTCGAATTTCTTTTCAGCTGAAGATACTGTCGTAAAAATATATATATAATAAATAAACCTTACACATACCTTGGGAAAGGTATGGCAGAAAAATTAAGGTTTTAAAAACCTGACTTTTCCAAACCGCGGTATACCTTGAAAATGATTATTGTCCCATGTCTAATAGTATAATATGGTGATGCTGATTAAGGCATTATCAATTAGGAATACAGCCAATATGCAAGCTAATAAACAATTATCTAAAAGAGAGAATTGCTCCTAATACTATTGTACTACCATTTTACTGTATGTGAACATTAGAGTGTTAAAAACAACTTTTCTTTTGTCATTTTAAGAAGTAAAAGACTGTAAGACGTAAAATAGTGTTTAGACAAGAAAACTATGTCAAGATTTGAGATATACTGTATAATTATATGACGTTGACAAAATATTTTTAGGATTACATTCGTAAATTCTAACATAGTTTATAAGGGTTTATGAATGCATAATACATTAAGAATACTCTTGGGCATTATCAATAAAAGCTTCATAGAAATGTGTCATATTTTTAAGCAACTTCAGACAAAAAGTAAACATACAGGCATATTCAATTTTAACTGTAAGTGTGCAGCTCTTCATAAAACAGTTTAGAGACCATCTTGAAGTTTAAAGTTTACATTATAAAAATAAACCTGCTTTGTAGCAATATTCATCATAGTATTGTATAGTCATAACAGAAGAACGGGAATAATGCTTAAAAACAAATAAAGCTTAAAGAATACATTTAAAAAGAAAAACACCTCAGATTACTGTGCATGTGCGAATCATTTTACACAGTCTGTTTTGAATGCCATTAACCTTGGGCAGCTTATCAAAATGCTATTCCCTCTGAACCCTGTATCTACATCAAAATTATGGATCCGTCTTCACACCAGGCTACAGTACATTTAATGAAACTTATATAACATTATCTTACAAATTTCAGGATGATGATACAAAGGGGGAAAAAAATCTGAAAACAAAAAAGCAGCAAAAGATGTGATGAGAGTGGAAGAGATGAGAATGAGTGTGGTCAAAGTCTGCGTATGAAGTGTGTATAAAATGAGTTAAAAAGCGAGTCAGCAAGTCATACATTTTATCAACTTGAAATAAATGATTGTTCCACTTCACAAGACAGCAAAAACACAAAAGAATCATGAAGTTGACCTCTGAACCTGAAGCTATCAAATGTTTCTGTGTGTCATGAGGATGTCATGATTGAGAATGTGGAGGGCAAAGGCTCACCTTGTGATCTCATCATCTCCCAGCATGCCTTTTGAGACAGGAGAGTACCGAGATGGGGTGGCAGGGGTTAATGGTTGACTCAGATAGCTTTGGGTGCTGATATGGTTCTCCATGTGCTGGGAGTAGGCTGGAAAAACCGGAACACAAAGATTTGATGTTATTGATGTAAAGATGAAAACTCATTTGATGATGCTCACAGAGGTCAGGACCTGGAATCTCAAAATGACTGCACCAGTCATATGCAATAATGTGAAAAACTGCAAGTACAGACATGCCTAATATTTCTGAAGAAACTTGCTGTGTGAAAGGCCTTCTAAAAGAGTCAGACATGTTTTATTTATTTATTTATTTTTTTATCTTTTCTTGTGCTCGGAGCATGTTATTAATGGTCAGTTTTTCATATATGACAATCCAAACATATACTGTATATATGTATATGTATATATATGTGTATATATGTGTGTGTCTGTGTGTGTGTGTGTGTGTGTGTGTATATATATATATATACATATATATATATACATATATATATATATATATATATATAGATGAACACTGTACACTCTCAGAGTGTGGTATTTTTTCAATAGGTACACATTTGTACTTATAGGGTCCATATTGGTTCCTCAAAAGTATATATTAGTACCTAAACATTTTAAGAGGAACACTGTTGTACTTTTTAGGTACTAATATGTACCCTTTAGGTATTAATACGAACCTTTAAGGTACAAATGTGTACCTTTTGAAGGTACCACCCCAGTGACAGCTCGCATACCTTTATTTCTGAGAGTGTATATACAACAGTTCTGTCTGGTTCTGGAATCTGATTGGCTAATAGAAGTGTGATAATTCTGCAATATCAGAACTCGTACTGCCTCTTTACTCATGTATTACTCTGCACACAGACAGTGATAATAAACTCATTACAGTTTGACAAATTTTGCAGCTGTTGGACAACAATGTACTTTTGAGGCTTTTTAGGCAAGAATATAGTTGTGAAGTTTCAATAACAGACAAGCTGTTTTGCTTCATAAAGCCAGATGGTCAGGAGCTCCATGTATTAGCTCAGTTTTGCCTATAAATGTTTGTTTTGACTTTCAAAGTGCCGCTAGCTCTCAACTTGCATTTTATTAAATCACCAAGGATACTAGTTTCAGCTAATAATCTTCTTCGATGTTCTACTGAAGAAAAAGCACAACGAATGGCCTAAGAGTGAGAAATTAACAGGAAATTCTTACTTTTGTGTGAAGTATCTCTTTAAAACACCATTGCAGCATGCTGATTTGGTGCTTGAGTAACGTTTCTTACTGCAATCAATTGCTCATTTCAGACAGTAAATTGCCATAAAATAACCAAAACATTTCACACACATCGTATCTACACTCAAAGCTTCTTTCAAGACATTACAATTAAGCTTTAAATGTCTGTTATAATTTTTAATTAAGTCATCCCCTTAAAAATACAATCTTTTTGATAATACAGCCTTTAAATATACGAGTAGGCTACTAGGCCACCCAAAAAGGTCTGCACCTCACTTTCATTTTCACTTTCACAAGCAGGGCAGAAGGATTTTTTCAGAACACTGAATTTGCAGCTTCGAAAGACATAAATAAAAAAAAGTTATGTTTTTGGCAACAGAAATGTATGTTTTTGTTAGAAGGATGTTGCTGAGCAGCAGAGGCACTTATATTTAATGTCACCGGGAAAAGTAGCACTTAAATGCATGCGACCATTTTGATGATCATTTTGATGAAATTAAAAGTAGAAATACTCATAACTCTTTTGTGTTTTGTCATTTTAGCACAATAACAATGTTAGAAATAAATATGGACATATAAAAAAGAAAAGTCAGGGTACTATAGATATGTGGGTTTGATTTCAACAAGTAAAATTGCTAAAAAAAAAAAAATGTAAAAATGGTTAAAATTACCACCTTAGAAGTAGTGTTAAGGGCACTCCTAATGAAGCATTTTATTTTTTTAACGAGCATCATTTTATTAGTTTTGTTAAAGGAGTTTTTAGAACAGCAGCAGCATGTGGAAAAACTGAGCGCCTGTTTTACGTTTTTTTTATGCACAGCTGAGCATTTTTGGAAGAGCGCTGATATTTTCAGCTGTGTAAAAACATTTAACTGGAAAAACTATTATTACATACAAAATGTGCTGTTTTCACAGCAGAATTCTGGAAATTTACTGGTAATGTGTTACAACTTATACCCATAAATTCTGGAATCAATTTTCCAGTATTTTTCATTTTAATAAGGGCCTGTTCATACCTGATGGTAGTTTATCAGTGATTTTTTCTGAAAAGTCTGTATGTGTAACAGCTAATGTTTACAGTAGGTGTGTTTCTTAATATATTTGTGGCAAACGTGATAATGTCTCATTCACACGAGCAGCGACTTTGTAGCTTGTAACTGCAAACGCAGGTCTGTGTGAGTCTACAGCACGGAGAATACAACCAGCCTCTGAGTGAGCTGAGAGAGAATCATGTGAGCCCTACTGGTGCTCCTATTGGCTGTTGCTCAAAAAAAGTCGCTCTTCGTTTGCATAAAGTTGAAGGATTCTGAACTTTGTTGCATCGCTCGGCATGCCCACCTGGTCGGTAACGATCGCTGTTGCTCGCATAGTCTTTCGGAAATCGCTGAAAGACTCTTCATTGAAATGAACAGTTGCTTACGCCTTTGCCAATGAAAGCCACTTGTAGTGTGAATGATGCTCATATCTTTCAGGCTCAGTGTCTTTACACTCTCTTTACCGATAATTCAAATACATCCATGATGAACTATGTGTAGTGGCAAAACTACATCACAATAACCTCCAAAAGCTTCCTAGAGAAGAACTTATTAAAGCAGTCCATGTTACATACAGTATGTGCATAGTCTCAAAATATTTAAATCTCATTCTCCTCTTCACATATACTGGTGATCCATTTGGTTGCAAACATGGAAACAAACACAGATTGACATAAATCACGTTAAATGGAGCATGCTATTTTTGTAACAAATTTTTTCAGTGGTTATTTTTTTAAAGACCATGACTGTAAGAGCACCAAAAAGTCTATTTACAAATTATTGGTTTTAATATTAAAACTAGCTCTAACACTTATATCATTATGTCTCCTTTTAATGATATGAGTTTATACTACAGTAATAAAAATAACAATACAGTAAATTGTGCATAATTATAAGTAGCTAACACTAAACATAAAAGCAACTTAATTAATATTACTAACAATATTGTAAAAGAACACACAAAAAAAGTGCTGACAAGCATTATTATAGCATAAATGCTGAAATATGCGGTTTGCAAGGTCACAAGTTTACACAAAGTACACAAACAGATAAAATGTAAATATTGAAAGCATCTGCAAAATGCATTAATGTATAAGGAAATTACCTTAGGGTGTTAAAATAATGGCTAAAATTTCCTTTTGTGTTCACTTAAATCCTTTTAAGGCTCTATAATTGATGTCAGTACTATAAATCTAGTGTCCTTATTTCACTGTGTCAGATGTAAAGTGTAATAAAGTCAAGGGTATACGCACTGGGCAATTACTAAGCGCCGACATTGACAACCCATTTATTTAATTCTCATCAAACAGTCCTTCACGTGTCAAATCCCCACGCAGTGCCTGATATAATGAAATGGTATGGCTAATGAAATAGTTCTGTTTACGCCTTCTGAGAAAAATCACATTGTGCGCCCTCACACGACCGTCTACATGTGCAAACGTCCTTTAAACCTCCCTCTGCAACACTTGCACAAACACGCGCACTCTTTTCTGCATATACTGATGCTGGATTTGCTGGCCACGTGATGCACTTCGTGATTAAATGTGCTTTTGTCCTTCATGCCTTTAAGCCCTAATGACAGCTTCCTTTCTCAGGATGTAATGCTGCGGGATCTGGCCTGCCTCTGGAACATCACCAAGGTGCTACATTATCGACTGTCATCGCTCAGCATTTTGCACAGTCAATTTTAGTGGCCGTCCTCACGAGTTGCTGCCCCCATTAACAGAAAGTGCTGCACATTGCGGCTTTCGGGTGGGATTTAAGCCACGACGGAGGATGGGTCACCAGGACTAAGAGTTGGCGCACTCAAAAAGGAACATTCTTTCATTATTTACTCATGTCATTTCAAATACATAGACGGATTGGTTTCCAAATGAAGATATTTTTAATTAATTTTCCCTCCATTAAAAGTTTAAGATTCTAATATAACTCTAAAAAGTATTTGAAAAGATCCAAAATAAAAAACACAAATTAATTCAATCAAATTATTTTGAAAAGTCACGATTTATTATGAGGAAATATTCAATTTAGACTTTTATTTGCATAATCAATAATGCATTGATCAGTGAACAGTTTTTACAGCATATTTATTTGGTCATGGAAGTTCAAGCATGCTTGCTTAATGCTTGAGAGCCAATGAGGTTCCTTCTTGCATCACATCATCATGTTTGAGCTTCAGAAAGAACCAATGAGGTTTGTTCTAGCCTTTCAAGTAGATATGGATGAGCTTCTGTTCATGTTGGATGATCAATGTTTAAATGATAATTAAAACCGAAATAAAATCCAATTTTCATATACAGTACAGTGATTCAGTGACTGCGTTTCTTTTGCACAATTCATGAATTTATGTTTTGAACGTTTCTGAAGCATCATCGGTTTGGTTGAATAAAATTACAATGGTGGGTCAACATTTTCTCAGACATGTTTGGTACTCACCAATATAAATACTGATAAATGTTATTTTGCAATTAAAATAAATTAATTAATTAATTAATTTATTTATTAAAATAAACAAATAAAAAATAAGTTAAAATAAATAAATAAATAAAATAAATAATTTAAATAAATAAATAAAATCAAATAAAACTAAACAAAATTAAATAAAAATAAATAAATAATAAATAAATAAATACATTTTCTATTCTTTAGTGTTTATTTTATTTCTCAGTTAAAATTTATGGTGCATCACACTGGACACTATAATAGTCCATTAAAGTTCCTTAGTAATCATATGACATTAGTTTCATTTGCACTTTCAAATTTTGTTTACGCTTGACTTTATAATAGTAATATGAAAATGTTCATATGATTTATGTACAATAAAGTTTGTAAAGTAATATTTTCTGTCTTTAGTAGATATTTTTTTAGGAGAGACTTGCTTTGTTTACTAAATTAGTGGATCTAATTGGATTTGCATTGTAAACAAAGTTTTTTAAAAAAAGTTAAAAATGTATTGTTTTTGACTTCATATATTAAGTTTTTAGTTATGATACTCAGATTCTGTCTGGCCCTAGTGATAACCATAGTTTACTGTCATTGCTGTTGACATACAGTACCAAACTACAAGCTTTCCATTGATGTCTGCGAGAAAGAGATCAGTTATCATGCCCAATACCAGTATTTGCTTCTGCCTAAAAAAAATCTCAATTTGTTTTCTGAAGATGAACACAAGCCTCACAGGTTTGGAATGATAAGAGGGTGAATAAACAAGGACTTATTTTGAGTTGAGTCATTCATTAGAATCAAGTCTTTTCCTGCAAAAAAGCTTCAAGGATTTAGTATACCTTAGGATAGGCTTACTTACAGCTGGTGACATCGGGAGGAGCGTAACTATCATTCATAAAGACACTAGTGGGTTTCGCCACTTTTAAATAGACAACATCAGGGGTGTTTTTCAAGGCAGCCACGGCATCTTCATGAGTGACCTCTTCAAGGCAAACAGCATTCACCTGAAACCAAACACAGAATCCATCAGATCAAACATGGCCCATGGGTATGGGACATAAACAGAAAGACTGCATTTATTTGATCAACAATATTGTAGCATTGTGAAATATTATAGCATAGAATGAAATTTATACCTGTGATGGCACATAGTCCTACTGAAATAATTTGCTGTTCAAGAAAGATTATTTATTATCAACACTACAAATTGTTGTGCCACTTAATATTTTTGTGGAAACCCTGATAGATTTGTTCAAGATTCTTTAGATGGGATTGAAAAAGAAGTATTGCTAAAAGAAAGTTTTAATTATTTAATTATTTTTTTATTTATTTTAGTTGTATTGACTAAAACGGTGGGTGTTTAATTTTTGGAGGATTTTTTAAAGAGCCCATATTATGACCTTCCATGCAGTGTGTAACAGCTATAAGCAAAGTGAAATATCCAGATGAGGATTAAATCTGAAAGAGCACCATGTTTAAAACAATTGACTCATATATAAAAGAGTCGACTCATAGTGGTTCAAATGAATCGCGAGGGTAACAAATCTTTAGCCATGTTGGCGTGACGTCGATACGGAACTCAAGCTCATTTGTTGCGCACACAGACCTGGGAAAATTAAAACACCCGGCACCACCCACAAACACTGTAGAAAGAAAAAGAGGAAGACAAACACTGTAGCAGATCCCGCTTGACTCATGTCGTGAAGACGCTGTGCTCTGAAGTGTGAGAGAAAGTTAATGTTATTTTCCCTACTCAAAGATGAGGCTGTGAAGTGTCGGTGGTTGAAGCAAAAATACCTCAGCATTATAGCCCAAGCCTTGTGCTGTGTTCATGTAATTTTTCTGATAAGTGCTTCAGGAATCTAAATGCTTACAACAGGGGATTCGTCGGCAGTTTGTTAAAGAAAGGATCAGAAAAACTGCTGATATAACAGACTTTGTCAGAGCTTGACTCGAACTTTACAGTACACAGTTCATGGATCAATTTCTTCCTCCATTTCAAAAGTGTAAGTAACTTAAGTGCGATTAAAATGGTTGCCTCCTTGTTTACTCTAGCTTGCAAGGTATGTTTTTAGTTGTTTTGTAACTTGTAACCGCTTGTACTTTACCTAGTTTACTCTTTACATTCTCATAATCGCGTCTAAGACCACACTGAAAACACGATGCGTGCGCGATGTGTTTACTGATTTAAATGCGTTTGTGAGCTCATGATCCACAGCCGGTTGTCGTTGATAGGGTCACCATTAGCTGTTTCTACACACATGCGGCAGTCAAGTTTCAAAATAGTTCAGCTTTTGTGACTTTGTGGATTAATACTGAATGTTTCACTGTTTTTACTTATGGTTAATCCTGCATTGGGCTCACACATACACTCTGACTACTACAAAATTATTGATAAGCTGTGGTGGCCCTTTCTCTTTGTCTCATGCTGAATGCAGTCGACCAATTGCAATAGACTGGCTCATCTGACCAACCAGGGCAGATTAGAATCACGCTAAGGAGGGGTTTGGGTATAAATGAATTGCATATTTTAAGATTATAAATAAATGCTTATTATAAGACAATAAAAGTGTTATTTTTTTCCTTACATGCATATCAGCCTGTTGTTGGAGACCCCAAAACCAAAACATGAGCCTCCTAAATGCATAATAGGGGCTCTATAAAGTGTATTATTTTTGTAAACAAAAAGCAAAACCAAGCAAATAACAAAATAAACGTATCTTTAACTTTAAGAGAATTAAGGTAATATAAAAACTTTTAATACAAATGAAGTGATTTTGTTCTTAAAGGAATTTTTCTAAAGTGAATTATTTTGTAAACATGATATAAAATAGTCAGATGTAAATGGTCCTCTACTGATTGATATTGACGGAACTTTTGACAACAAAACAAAAAATAAAACAAACAAATCTTCTAAATTAAAGTGTATTAAGGTAATATGAAAACTTTTAATATATATATATATATATATATATATATATATATATATATATATATTTTTTTTTTTTTTTTTTTTTTTTTTTAATCATAAATAATATAAATAGTTTTAAGAGTTAAATATTTTGTAAATGTTAAAATAAAATTGTCAAATGTAAAGAGTCATAAAATAAAAATAAATAAAAATAAAAAATAATAAAATAAAATAAAATAAAATAAAATAAAATAAAATAAAATAAAATAAAATAAAATAAAATAAAAGCCAAGTTTACTTACAGCCAACAGTTTATCCCCAATCTGTAGCCTTCCATCTTTATGGGCAGCTCCTCCTTCAATGATTTTGGTGATATAAATACTGTTGTCCCCAGGAATATGTTGGTTCCCAACACCTCCTGCTATACTGAAACCTAGACCTGCCGAAAAGGTCAGAGTAAACAGAAACTACAGTAACTACACATTTAAAACCAGGTTTTTATTCTCTAACCTTAAGATAAATAATGACTTTACCTTTAGGACCTTTTACCAGCTTTACATCCATGATTTTTTCTGAGAGGGGTTTTCTTCTTCTGACGTACAGTCTGACAATGCAGCCTGCCTCCTTCAGCGCCTCCACGGCATTACTGTGAGTTACGTCTCTCACATCTACATCATTCACCCGCAGTATACAGTCATTCACTCTGCACAGAGACAAAGAGGGAGAACACTGTCAAAATAAATCTGTACAAATCACAGAGACTAAGTGCCACCAGACTGAAGTATAGTAGGCCCACACAAGTCTATTTGTGTAAACGTGTGTAACATAATTAGGTTTTTATATTAATTTCAGTAATATTATTTACTAATATGCACATGTTTATATGATTTAAAAGTTTGTAAAGTAATGTTTTTCATCTTTTAGTAGATACATTATATGTGAGGTTTGCTTTGTTTATCAAACAACTATCCATTGTAAACCTTGAATATAACCTTTTTGTTTTTTTCATGTTCTTAAGTTTTTAGTTATTACCCAAGATAGTTATTATTCCCAAGATCATTCCAAATAAATCTGCTGATTTTTTTTTTTTTTACAATATTATGTGGAGAAATAGCAAAAAATGTCCACAGATTCTGCTAGGCCAGTGTAAATGAGATTCATGCTGTTCTATCTATAATATAAACATGATGTTTTGATTAGAATAACAGATAAATAAAAACATATGTACGATTATAATTGAGGATTGGCCATTGACAACTATTACAAATGTTTCTAGTAAATAAAATGTGGAACAGATGTTTCAGATTTAAATTAACACGAGGAGAAGAATCATATTTATATCTGGAGGGTTATTAATTTACACTAAAGCCAAAGCATGGAGTTAAGGAAGACTATAAACTGCTTAGTCGTCTGGGATTAAGTGGGATTTACTGAATGCAAAAGTCTGACCGTTTGCCCTATTGACACATGCAATGCTTCAAACATATTGTACACTGCTATTTAAAAGTTTTACTTAATAAATGAATAAGAAAACACCTTAAATTAATGGTCCAGTAGTTCATGTTAAATTACAGTGTTTACTAACATAAACAATACATTTATTACAGTTAGTTAACCCAAATAAAGTTGTTCATTGTTAGTTCTTGTTAACTTACCATGCATTAACTAATGTTAACAAGCACAACTTAGCTTTTAATATCGCATTAGTGAATGTTAAACTATGATTAAGAAATGCTGTACAAGACTATTCATACTTTGTTCATGTTAGAAAATATATTAATATTAACTAATGGAGCATTATTTTCAAGTATTACCTATTAATTCATGTTCATAAACTAACACTGTAAAAACACTGCAGTGTTCCCCACAGAACACAAATTGTGTATTTACACTACCGGTCAAAAGTCTGGGGTCAGTATGATTTTTAAATGTTTTAAAATAAGCTTCTTTTGAGTTGAATCATTCCTGCTCACCAACGCTGCTTATATTTAATCAAAAAAGCAGTAAAAAGTGTGAAATTGTGAAATGTTATAGCACTTTAAAATAACTGTTCAAAAGTAGTTTAAAAATTTTATTTAATAATTTTATTTCATAATAATAATAATAATAATTTTATTTCAGTGATTATATATATATATATATATATATATAATATATATATATATATATATATATATATATATATATATATATATATATATATATATATATATATATAGTGAATGAATGAATGAATAAAAAGTAAACACACACATAAACATATATATATATATATATATATATATATATGTTTATGTGTGTGTTTACTTTTTATTTATTCATTCATTCATTTTCTTGTCGGCTCAGTCCCTTTATTAATCCAGGGTCGCCACAGCGGAATGAACCGCCAACTTATCCAGCACGTTTTTACACAGAGGATGCCTTTCCAGCCGCAACCTATCTCTGGGGAACATCCACACATACTCATTCACACTCGCACACGACGGACAATTTAGCCTACCCAATTCACCTGTACTGCATGTCTTTGGACTGTGGGGGAAACCGGAGCACCCGAAAGAAACCCACGCGAACGCAGGGAGAACATGCAAACTCCACACAGAAACGCCAACTGAGCCGCGGATCGAACCAGCGACCTTCTTGTGTGTGCTTTTATTAAAGTGCATTTTCAACAAAATTGGTTGAGCGCTCAAAACTATCAATGACTTCACTTTCTCATGCTTCAGACTGGCACCACTTATCCTGTTAAATGTTAGCCTGATTCTTAATAAACATGTGCTGCATGTGTTAATCTGAACTGGCCCTTCTGGGAAAAAAACCTGTCCTGACCTGAGTCTGCCGTCCTGTGCGGCTGCTCCTCCTGGGATGATCTTGGTGATAAAGATGCTTGGGTCCTCGCCGATGTGGGGGTTATCGGTACCGCCTGCAATACTGAAACCCAGGCCCGAGTTACCCTGTAGGATAGAAAATCAAAACAAGTCAGAACTTAAAACAAAGAACATGTCGCTCAAAGAAAACAATACACCTTTAATCAAAATAATTTCTGATATGGCTGGGTGATGTAGCAAAAATGCAAACTCAATCATTTTTTTCCATGTTGAACAATAATGACAAATTTTGAGATAATGCTTACAGCTTTAAAAGTTGTTATCCCAACAATGACTGATGCAACAAAAAATTGAGCCTTTCATAAATTACAATTTAAAATATTGTTTATTAGCAAAGTCAGATTTTTT